ATCCATAATAAATAACTCCTTGTCGTGTGTTTTCTGAGAAATGTCAATTAAACTTAGTATAACAGGATTTAGTCAAGTCTTGGCAGGTAACTGCACTTAATGATTCACAGTGTTCTGTAAATGCTGCAGGACTACGCTCTCTGCTCAATGGCAACCATAGAATTAAGTGTCCACACTTATCAACTGTGCTGATTTTGACTGTAGAGATGGCATGACAAAAGGCACAGTGGGATAGGAGCATGTTTGCAAATGGTAACAAGAGTTAAAGAGCCCATTTTAACATAACTCCAAACCAATACTGAACAGCAAAACACCATCACTTATTATTACCTTCAGTGTGCCATGGGACTCACTAAGATAAACAACACATGAATAAAAATTGTTCTTTAATTGTTAAAAATTTTCTATTGACTGCCTCGACACCTGTTAGCTGTAGCTAGCACAGCTGCAGCTCACCATCAATGAGTCAGTTTGCATTCTGTAGAAAAATTAACGTAATTAATTAATTTAATTAAAATTAAATGGAGTTGATAGCCCCCGAAAGTGTTACCATATATTCAAACAATGTAGAAGGAAACCAGCATCTTGGGAAGTTATCCTGAAATGCGAGAACGATTCTGAGATTGTTTCAGAATGAATGGGTTGGAATATCATATATTATGTGCATTAAGTATAAATAGTTAATTTAACCTTCAATACAGTTCCATGCAAAAGCTTTCATCTCTTGCTAATAGCTTCTCAGCTTCTGTTGGTAGTTTTCTATTTTTAAGAACATGCAACGCCTGAAAAAAAAGTGTTTGTAATTGTTGCTAATCAGATAAGCCCTGTTAATAAAGGTATTTTATTTTTTCATACATAAAGAATGCCTTGGATTTGGGGTTTTTGGAACTTTTAAATACGTTTCAACTAAAGTTCACTAACTTAAATATGGTTTCTATAAACTTTTATTATTCTTTTCCATTTGTTACAGTTTATATGTAAGGTGCCAAACAAATTACACAAAACAATGGTTGTAACTCCATCTACGGACTATGAAAGTCTGTTACAGAGCTTGTTTTGTCACCCCAGTCAAGGTACATTAAAAAAAAAATCATTTACAAAAGCCACCAAAAGAAATAAAATCAACAACATTAACTTTTTTTTTTTCAAGAATGTATAGCTTACAATGTGATTATGTATGACTTATTGCAAAAGACAGCTTTAAGGTTTTGGCAGCCTTCTTGACTTGTTCCCACAAGGTGCGAGCAGAAGCAAATCAGGACTGTTCCCCTATGTGAAGAGACAAAATACTGCTATCAGGCGCACTCCATCACCTCCTGACAGACCTGGCGTGATTAATCTCGCGAATCAGTCGTGACTCTCAACAGCGTAACAGCGCTAAACTCCCATAGCAACAGGCCATGAAAAACAAGGAAAACAAAATAAATAGCAGGACAAGACAGGATTTTATCCTGTGACCAAAATGCTTTCAAGGTAAGGAAAGGTCAGACTTTACACCTTACCCAACATGTGTTTTTAATGACCAGGACTGGCAATGCATTAACAGCCTTTGTCTCGGACATTGTTGATCCTGTTTTCACTTAAAAACCATCACTGACAACAGCCTTGAGGTGACTTTTATTGAAAACGAGCAGAGAGAACAATCAAGGCCACAAACGACTGGATTGTTTGAGAGAGAAAAGGAGATGGAAACTACAGTCAAGAACAGGCTAATGAGTTCTGATTAACACCTCATTCCAAATACCTGGACAAAGAATAATTGGTCTTGAAGACCTTATACTCCTCCTTAATAAAATGGACCAACAACATTTCTTCCTCCTAGAACTCCCAAAGCTCCTCATGCAAAATATTTTAACTTTTCCTGACAGGCTCTCTGAACCAGGGTGTGAAATGAAAGATAGGCTTGTCATTTCTACTGTGAGGCTCTGGCAGATTTGTCCCTGGGCTCCTCTTGCTTCAGTGTTTGAGATGCAGAAGTCCTACAGCTGTTGCTTGAATTTCAATAGGGATTCTACTTTCAAATTCCCTCTTGTGCTGCCTGTTTAGAGCCTCAGCTCAGGCACAAGGACACAGATCAGGTCGGCTCTTTCTTTGCTGTTTCTTTTTTCTGTATCCTTCAAAAACACTGGCTCTCCATGAGCGTGGCCAAAGAAAAGAATGAAGTCAAAATGGAGATACACTGAATAATGAACTGAAAATCAATGGTTGTTTAATATATATCAGCCTGCAGAAAAAAAGAGGGACTAAAACAGCAATGCACAACATTGACCGTATATCCACCCAAACACACTCCAACAGTACACAGCCAGCTCTCTGGGAATCTGCTAGAGATGTAGTCTAGACTCACGTTGGGGATATCTGGACTACTGGGCTCTAAAACAATTTCTTTGCGGCCTACGATGAGAAACCGGTTAAGGAACATAAATAATCCTGATGTAATGTCTTGCAGGTAGCTGATGTTCAATTGGAAACTCAAGCCTGTGCACCACTAATCCTCATCCTCAGGTGCTTTACATTTGGCACAAGTTGTTGGAAGTTACCCCACCATGTTTTTGAAGCCTGGCGTCTTTATATAAAAAGGTTGGACGATAATCCATGGATCAAATAGCTACTAATGAATGAATTAGATGGACAGAATGACTTGTTTTTATGTTCTTAATATTGTCAGAAGATGGTTCGGAACTCTAAATATAAATATAAGCCTGTCCAGGTCATTACTTCACAAGATTTTAATCAAATTTGGGTTGTTAATTTGAATTGATTACTTAATACTTAATTCGATTCCATCATAAGGGAGCTAGATGCACTGAAGATTGGAAAAAGAATGTTTATGATGCTACTTATTGGTATTAATCAACACTTGATCTCACTGCAATTACTATAATTCTCAAAACATAGAGCAATATAAATTGCACAAGGAAGATTTGCCTACTGAGCTGTGTAACAAAGCAGTCTAAATCAAAATGATTTCTTTACGATTCACAAAACCTACACAGGTCGTGTACGTTGCTGAAATAACATTTAATCACCTTGAACCTGCTATAAAACAAAAGGAAATGGACAACACGCATCACATTACCGTGCACAAAACATATGTCAGAATAACTGAGGGAAAGACTGCCAAACAGTTTCATAAAAAAACTTGTACTGAGCAGGGTGGCGGGGAAGGTCAGCCATAAATCGATCATATTTAGCTCAGTACTCCAGGGATCGATAGCTCTGTTGTCTTTTAATCACATTAAAGCCTGATCACCTTGAATAGCATAGAACATAAACACTTTTCATTTGCTTGTTCACCTGTGGAACACACACTGGATATTGGCTTTCAAAAGAAAAATGTCTGGGAGACATCTATTCATTGCAAGCAGAGCACTGTTGATACGATACATTAAATCAGCAAATGTCACCTAGAGAGAATACAGCCATCTGAGGTTTCTACCCACATCCAAGCCAAATATGCAATCCATGTCCAAACCAAAAATTCCTCCAGCCAAAAAAAAAATGTTTAGATAAGAATGTTTCCAGAGAAATTAGGCTCATCCCACTTGGCGAGAGCTAGATATTGACAGGGCAGCCAACCTCACATCACAGAAACCAGACAGGGCTCTTGGCAGGTTTGAGCCAGCATGTGTTGCCAAGGGTAAAAAACAGCTGCTTCTGACTTTTACTGCCTTATCTGACACCTGCTGTGTTGTAACTGAAAATAAGTGAGCTGCCAGCGAAAAAGGAAAACATACAAACGTTGGCTGGTTTAGTCCCATCCACAACAGGACACACCCACTGAGAGCTAACGTTTCACCACTGGAGAGGTGAAAGGGAAAACTCATGTGGCAGCCTGCAGTTTAAAAAGTGCCTGCATAAATGGAGTCCTTTTAACAACAAAGAACGAAAGAGCGAAGGTTTCAAAAGAAATAGTCCAAAGGAATCATGTAACAAAGAAAGCATTAATGCCCTCATTTGTCCTAGGGCATTAATGCTTTCTTTGTTACATGATTCCTTTGGGGAAAGACAAGATGTCTTTCCCCATAAAACAAAAATCTCAAATTAGATCACCCCGGTGATTCAACCAATAAAAACTATAGGTCTTAGAACATGCACTGTACACCCACAGCCCAAATATGGCCAGCACAAGTCTGGGCAATGTTCAATGTCTTAAATGGAACTTGACCAGAATTCTTAAAGCAACAGAGCTCAAATGGCTGAGCACAACCCGACCTGAAACGACTTCAGGTAGCCAAAGGAGTGATGACCCCTGGGACCTGCCGGTTTCCTGTAATCATGCAGTGACATTGCTTAGAGTTTCAAGTAGGAGGCTCTGCCAGCGTTTGTTGACTGCAAAGGCACCTGAAGAAGGATCAACAGCTGAAACATCCTTCCTACTTTTCAGCTTCTAATTGATATTTGCTTGGTGATGCAACACTCCTAAAATCAACGCTGAATTGCCTGGAAAATACAGAGTTCATATTCTATCAGCTGACAAAGTGTTCCATACTGGTTGTGTCAGAAGACAGCTGTACACAACTCCTTGCTTTCCTCATGCTTGTGTGGTGAAACAGTATGAAATTACTAAATGAAAACCATCTGCAAATAACTGAATTAGTATAGATCTGGCAACTACACAATTCCACAGCTCAATGTTTTCTAAACTATAATATTATTACTTTAAATATTAACTGACATATCTTCCAATTATCGACATCTACTTATAAAAGGAGACCCTAATCCTGAACAGAAAATCCAAACCTTGGGTTAGGGGTATGAAATCATTGTAAAAAGCTGTTTATAACATTAATTTGATTAATCGCATAATGTAATCTGTAGAGAACAAAGCCAAAGAGTAACTTGTATAAGTACCTATTCTCCAAGGAGAACTACATAAGATCAGCAAAGCAAATGCCTTCTGCCAAATATGCTGTTTTGGCTGAAAGCACGAAACAGCTCGAGCTCAGCGTGTTTCCAGGCCAGCTCTGTCAGTGCTGCTCTTGCATCTGCAGAGAGGGAGAACGGCAGCCTGTTTCAGAACTCAAGCATCAGTTCTTCCTAACAGCATGAGCAGTGAGAGACTGACAGAAATGGACCTGCGGGTTCAGCACGAACAGAAAAGTAATAAAATCAGCATCTGTGTCTGACACGCATAGTGCAATTCAGCCACGTTTGCTAGCACAGATAGCGAGCTCCAAAACCATTATCGAGACAATACTGTCTCTTTACATTCATTAAATCTAAATTAAATATTTACAGAGTCTTGAAGGAGTACTGCTTATGGTCAGGGAGAGTATTCCTGGTCTTGAGCGGCTAGTACGTCTGTACTCATTCCCACCCTGCAATTAGGTAGTTAATTTAAGTAAGCTTGTGATTGACTCCATGGAACCAACTTACAGTAGCAAGTCCTCCCAGTTTTTTAGGAGCTGTGTTGTTAAAGAGACCAAGAAAATCTGCAGACACACAAGGATACCCATTCTTGGTTTATGGTGTACATATCGACAACATTACAATTTGAGCTGTGCACGCTT